CCCCCCAATCAGCCTGCCTGGACTGGAAGGAAGATGACGTATGACAACTAGGTTAAACAACCTTTGCTTAGGGCCCCGAATAGGGTTTGGCCGGCCCTGTTTCCATTGGCTCTGCAGCGTTTTGGTGTGGCTCGGTACGGCGTGTTATATATATATATATATAAAACAGCATATAGATTCTGTAATCGAGCTTCTAATACTCAGTTATTACAACAACTTCAGCCATATTGTGTAAACTTTTCCTTTCATAACAAACTTCAAAGAGCTGTTTATTACAAACTTACAAAAATTCAAATCAAATCAACTACCTAATGGGAGAAATGTTACATATTAAACCCCATAACCAAATGTCACTGGTACTGCTTCAAATGTTAAGCCAATAAAGGGGAATCTCAGATTCTACCTCAGATCAAAAAACAAAGCTTAGTATTTGTTCCCTGTAACTCAGCGTTGGATAACTGGAATAATTATTTTGGCTTTGTCATGTATATTAAGTATCACTTAAAAGATGTTTTTTGACATCTGTCCAAAAGGGCCGAAAACTTTTATTATACGAAAAAATTTAGCACCAGTGCCTATATTCACGTGGATCGTTTTCCATTTTACTACTTGGAAACAAACACATGTTTACAAACCAGAGGAATATTGTTCAAGATTAGAGAAAAACGATTTCCTTACTCTGTCAAAGCACAGGGAATTCATGCATGTGCTTGAAAACCGTGCTGCTGATTTACCTTGTCCAAGGTGTTTGAAGACACCATGGCTATTGGTAGCTGTCAGCCTCGAACCCCACGTTGGAGATTAAGGTGACCTTAAGGTGACTACACCCCATCCGTGCACTGTCTGAAGCAAGACGTAAGAAGATTAATTAATTTACACATCACTGTGACCATTGCTGGGTTCTGGGTAGACCGTAGTTCGTAATGTGTTACGTGTGGACCGCTGACATTAAGGTATAACAGCAGTTGCAGGGTTTACGTTGTGCTCTAGAATGTTCTGTGGTAGAATCACCAGAAACTTCCTTCCAAAGGCCACTGGGGGAGACAGCAGTCCATCTCAAAGCCCGGAAGGTTGTGATTGGGGGATAGTGGCAGGGGGCGGGGCTGAGGGCGGGGCTGACGGTGGTGCTGGGGTGCAGGGTGGGCGTAGGCCTACGCCCGTAAGTCAGTCCCGAAGTGTCTGACTTGGTCTTCTGTCATAGACAGGTAGTTGGCCCTCATGCTGGGGGAGTACTGTGGGAGGCAAGGGGGGAGAGCGTCACATGATTAGTATGGGGACATCACCATGGAAACAAACAGGTAAAAATAATAATCTGGGCATTATGCAATGGCCAACCTCCCAGTGAAGGGAGGATTTAATTTGTCTAGAGATTTTTAAAAACAGAAGACAGGGCAACAGTCATAAGTGGAGAAAGTGAGGGGGACAGCAGGGCAGCCCTGGGGGACAGACGGGGGACAGATGGGAGAGACCAAAGGGGACAGTGTCTGAGTTTGGGGCGCGAGGATGGAGAGGCGCATCAGGGAAAGGCTGCAATGTCCTCATCTGACCCCCCAAAAACACCGGTAAGAGAGGAGAGGCAAAAGCAGACCGTCACAGGACAAGTGAGCTGGGGAGGGGTGGAGTTAGGGAATGAAGCGTCAGTCTCGCTCGACACAGAGATCCGGAGAAAACTTACTGCGTTTCTAAAGGGCTGAAAGTACACCTCCAGAAAGGGGATTCAGGTAAGGAGGGAACGAAAAAGGAGAAAGACACAAACATACGGACAAACAGAAAATAAAAGAAACTATTAGCTGAAGACTCCTAAGTTTTCTGTATATATGAAAACCCTCCAGAAAGGGAAGAGAGGAGAATTATGGGAAAGGGGGTGTCCCTGACCAGCCTGTGTTAAACACACGTGGTTAAAAGCTTTTTTTGGTCCTTGAAAAGTTAAAAGACCGATAAAATCTACAGCATGTGAAATTAAAATGGTACTGATATCAAAATGCCCGGTGCTGTATTATGTATATATAATGGTTTCTTAATGCAAAACCCAGTTCTTAATTCTTGTTAAGTTTAAAATTTTTTAAATAAATATATTTTTTTATTATCTGAAATGGTTTTAACAGAAAGACGCCTGTCTTTGTTTATCCACAGTGGCTGTTTTCTGGTATCTGCTCCCCAGCCGAAGGCCAGAATCCAGAGGGACAATGGGGTCCAAGCATGGCGAGTCTCAGGGAAATGGCCAAGATTGTCCAGCAGGAGGCGAGCTTAACACAACAGGCAGGGCGCCGAACTGAAAGGAATCCACAGCTTTGCCAGAGAGCACAGGGCTGAACCAGCCCAGGCAGCCATCTTGTCTCAAAGCCAAAGGGGGTTAAAAATGTAATTAATACAAAGGGGGGGGG